TGTGAGACACCTAAGTCCTGTGAGATAGGCACTACATACAAAACAAAAGCAATTAAAGCTCTTTCTTCAATTTTTCATGTTTAGCAAACAAAACTCAATTTTAAGGAGACTTAATAAAGGTTTGCACAGGGTTTTTTATATTGTGAAGCACAATAATACATCTCATCATAGAAACTGTGTCTCAATCATTTTAAATCTAAAAGGTAATTCATAATATAAAAGCATCATACTGTAAGCTAACAGGCCAACAAGTGTTGCTAACTGAGTAGCGGCTGCGACCAACCAATGCCCAACACCACATACAGTATACCAAGTACCAAGTAACATACATCAGAGAGTAATTAATGTTTCTACAGAGGCTGCTCCATCAGACACAATGGAAATTTGCACACAGCCTCTGATAGGTCCATTTTAAGATGCCTTGTATCCATCAGTCTCAGTCCACACTATGGCCATGTGGAGGCAGCAGGGTCTCACTCAAGTCAGTGCAAACACAGTGGTGTTAGGCTACTTTCTTTCTATTAAGGATTAACTGCCGTTTCATGTAAGATGTGAGGGGTTTTCCTTTATTTCAGCAGCTCCAGACACCAAATGTTGCCCTCTATCTCATGCAAACAGAGGCTTTCCATGCTGCAAAAGGTCAGTGTGAATGATGTTATTATGATGATCAGTCTTCCAATAAGTCAATTTAAATACAACTTTAGTGTTTGAACTTTTAAAAAGTCCCTCTGGAGTAGTAAGAAACCTTTAGATAGACACCAACCATCCATCACACTGTTGCTTTGGTTATAACCTTGACAGTTGCTCAGGTTTACCACCTTCAGAGATTCAACCAGTCAGGACAAATTCTAACAACAGCATTTTATTGTTTTATAGATTGCAGCTTACTCACGGTTAGTATTTGAGGGCGGCCCTCCTCGGCCATAACGAGAGGGCAAACTATTTGACCCCCTGTGGACTGTGCCAACATGGCAGATAGACAGAATCAACTCAACAGCTCTTCGGGCAATCATTGACTTTGATACCATGACCATTCTCATAAAGAAAAGTATTTAAGATATGTTATACAAGGTGTAAGAAAATATTATATACCGATTTGTAAAGGGATAATATTTTGAGATTAATTTTTTTAAAAGGTAAAAAACATATATATATATACATTTTTCCCCCAAATATACACATATTTGCAGACATGACCACAAAGTATTATATTAGTATGTGGGTGGAGGAACGATCAAAGCAGAAGTCCAAAGTTTAAAGGAGAGCCTCAGCTGATTTTTCTATCATATGTGGGTCTCTTATAGTCACAAGGGGAGAAAGTACCGCATCAAACCCAATGGGTTAGTCAATAAATAACCAGGCACACTGAAAAAATATGGCTACTTCATGAGGCAACTTCATATATGACAACATGCTTTGGATCCTCAGTCTCGCGCATCACATGGATAGTACTAATTAGAGTGTACACTGTGGTCTGAGCAGAAACACAGTTAGAGCCAATCAAATAATATTACTGCTCACAACTGCACAGAAGCTAAGCCTCCAGGCGCAGAGAACCATGCACAATCATCAGAGAGATAAATAGATATTTAATCAATAGTCACCTCAGGATAAAGTGCCCCACCAGTTTTTATGTCTTTTATCTAGAAAATAATTAAAGCAGATAAGAATTACTCCATTTGAAATGTAGCAAAGGAATATTTGATGGAATAATGAAAATGTGTTGGTGATTTACTACCTATACAGCCGGCAATAACAACACAAGGAAAATATTTGTCATGTGATAAGTTCAAAATAAGATTTAAGGTTCATTTGTTCAGGTTCAGTGGTGCAGTGGTCTCGTGATTGCACATCCACCGGCTGGCTGGAGGCTTTTCTGTGTGGTGTTTGTGTGTTTTCTCTGTGTCCTCTTTGGGTTCTGTCCAGATACTCAATCTTCCTCCCAAAGACATGTATGTTAACTGGACTTTGGGTGTGGATGAGTGGCTGTCTCACTATGTTGGCTCTGTGATAGACTTGTGACCTGTCCAGTTGCACCGTTGGACCTACGACAGATTAATAAGAGAATGGATGAGTTGTTCAGGTTCAAGGTGCATCAGATGACTGGTATAGAAAAGTAGCTAACATTTGAAAGTAGCTAACTACTTTCAAACGTTAGTTTAATGGCTATACAATATTATACACAAACTTTATTCACTTTTAAACATGGAGCTGTTTCTTCTGCATATTTTATTGCATTAAATTGTCTGTGAATTTAAAAAAATATTTTTTGTTTATTATTTATCTGATCTTTTTTCTTTTTTTTTTTCATTATTATTTCATTAAACCCTGTTACTGTATACCACGCAATGGCTTCGTAAGGCACACTGTAACTCTTCAATCAGTCAGACTTTATTTGTTTACCACTTTTTTGCAGTTTAGTGTGGTTCAAAGGGCTTTACAGACCGATGAGAAGCTGATAATATGAAAGAGTCAGATGTAATAAAACAGAACCAAAATACAAGTATAAGTATATTAAAATCAATTTAAATGATTATAGAGTAAAATAAACCAAAACACCCTGTAAGTTCACTAACATGTCAAATAATGAGAAGCTACACAAACTCAGTAATGTAGATTAAAGACAGAATGTTGCTTTGTTAACACGTTTTGCATGCTTGCTTGACTATTTTCAGCTCTCAGAGCAGATTTGATTTATTTCAAAATTTTGTTTGCTCATTTGCATTTTCTTTGTTTGCTAAGAGTTTCATATCATGCAGTGTGATATTAGTAGTATTTGTGATTTGTATCTCAGCCTCCAGTGTCACATCATATTTTATTTGCAGGTTTGCGTGGAAGTAAGCCTTTCTTTTGTGGGTATTTCACTATTAATAGTCTTAATTTGTCAGTGCACTTGTTTGGCTGAACACTGTGTACCCAATACTGCCTGCAGCTGCAATCATCTTATTGCTTGTGCAGTAATCAAGTAGTACAGTATAGTGATTGATTGTAGGCTATGGGCTGTTTTTTGGAGCTACAAGATACAGGGTCAGGTGTTTTTAAACTATTAAAGGAAGCAAATGAAAACACAAGAAAGTAGAAAAATTAGTTTTTTTGATTATTATAAATTTTTGTAACTGTATTTGTAATTTTGATAGGTGCATTCTTTTGGTTATCATAAAAAAATCTCTTGGTAATCTGTATTTTTTCTGTGT